TTTTGAGGAATATTTTCATTAATGGTTTTTGTAGACTAAAATTTTTGAATCCATATGGCAGTGTACATTGCAATTAAAGTTTTTGTAAATAGAGATTTTTATGCATGAAAAAGAACTAGTACTTACTGACGCTGTACTAGGAATTAAAAAAAGAAAAGATTATGATTATGTACATCATTATGTTTATAATTCTAAACCGCCCAGTTTAAAGAATGACATTGTGTTGAATAACGTTTGCAATAACTATTGTTCTCGGTTTTGAATTTTTGCAGATGATATTCAGTGCCTGATTTACATATTATCAAGTTTTCTTTCTTTCACTTCATTCTCCAGAGTTTATAGCATTCTGAATTGTATATTGAGGTCAGTGTTAATCATTTTTGCAATACCTCTAGGCCTGTCACACTGCTGTTGGTGGGTTTAGACAACGCTGGGAAAACAACGGCAGCGAAGGGAATCGTCGGAGGTTAGTGTGGCATTATTCTGTTTGTGTCATGAGGTTTATAGATGTCTGCTCTTATTGCTTGTTTATTGCAAAATATAGGAGGTATTTTTTATCATTATTTATGGGGGTTAGTGTGTTTTGGTTTTGTGAAAGTTAATAGACATTGTAATGGTAACTAAACTGATTTATATTCTAGCTAATGTCTTTGTATGTTGCTGGTATTGAAGCTGGTGGGATGATGATATTTAGAATCAGTAGACTATATTGAGCATTGTCTTTGGGTATCAATATGATTATGAACGGAAAAATGTACAGGAAGTAGCCCCAACTTGGTTATAATGAGGAATCTTGTCATTTATTCCCCCCAGCCCAGTTTCCTTTCATCCAACAAGTACTCATAGGCATATTTTTCAAGGAAAGGGAGATAGTGAAGGTGGTGTTATTAGAAGTAGAGAAGGTGGTGTTTATTATAGAGTCTTGGAACTCCTTCCATTCCTCCCCTTCCTTTGAGGTTTGTCTGTTCTTATAGGGTGAAAGGTGCTCTTTTTAAGGAATGCTTCTATATAATGTGCAGTTCCAGCTTAGTGTTTTAAAAATCAATATTGTTTCTAGGTTTTTTCTTCTATAGTGTAATGCCAACAATGTTTACTTGCTAATTAATTCTTCTTCTTTTGAATTTGCAGGCTATACTCTCAATAGTATTCATTTATACAATTTTCTTCCTTATAGTATATTTGTAGATCTTTGAACCCTTTCAAAAAAATTTATTGCTAATCCTGTAATTTTTTGATACACGCAAGAGTATGTAAGTAAGTAATTTGAATCTGTTGCTGTTAGAATTATTAAAAGCTAGATACCATTTATATTTATATATGACAGTTGTAACTCTAATGGTAATTGTAATTCTAATAGACTGTTGTAATGCTGTAATTAACAAAAATGAGAAGGTGAAAGGATTATTGTTTCTGTATGGGTAATGTATTGTAAAATATATCTCTATTTTGTAGATCCTGTAGAAGATACTGCACCAACAGTAGGCTTTGCCCCGGAATACCTAGAATATAGAGGCTGTGAAATTACTATATATGACTTAGGCGGAGGCAGTCGAATCAGGCCAGTGTGGTCTAAGTATTTCTCTGAGGTAAGAAGGGACGGCATTGGTCTTACCCACATTGATTTATATCTGGAGCATTTTAATCTGCTATTTTGTGAATGGACTGTTTTGTGTAAATTTGAGATGGTTTTCTCATTGCTCCGAATTTTCAGGTCCACGGTGTAATATTTGTGGTGGATTCAAGTGATCCTAATAGAATACAAGAATGTAGAGATGTTCTTTCAAATCTTCTGTCAGACAGAAAAGTTGCAGGGAAACCAGTCCTTGTGTGAGTATTTAGTCATAACCTGTATTATCTACTTGTTCTCTCTCGTAATATATATATATCAGTAATGAATGGTTACCCATATGATTTATTTATGAGTTATTTATCTTTTTCAGACTTGCCAACAAGCAAGATGTAGAAGGTGCCATGGATGAGATAGACCTTGTAGAATCTCTCAAGATAGAACAAGTTGTTAACAAATACAAATGTCCAACGAGAGTGGAAACCTGCTCGGCCATCACTACTCGGAAGGAGAAGCCTGACAAACCTATTGCCGATGGATTCAGGTTTGAATTATAGTTAGATAAGATTTCAGTGGCTGAACTTTGAGATAGATTTGAGCTCTTCGGTGTTTTTTTTATTTATTTATTTATTTTTTTATTCTGAGGTATGTGTGATGATAAACAGATTTGCTGGACTTTGGTATTCATGGGATCATTAAGTAAGAATATGATTATGTAAGAATATGAATAATGTTCTGTAGTGACCTATAGGCCCTGTTTATTTCTATCACGTTACTTTATGTGGCTTTATGTTATGCATATTTTACCTTCTAAATGTGTCATTCTTATTATAGTTTCTGTTCTTTTGATCATGCTTTTGATAATTACTAGACCCTAAAATATGGACTCATACAAAGTGGCTCTGTACTGAAATTTCACCAAAGTAATTTATTTTCCACTTTCAGATGGTTGATAGATACCATAGTTGTGCATTACAAAGAAATCAATAAACGAGTGGATGCCGATATGGAAACCGAACGAAAACTACTCGAGAAGGAAATGGAGGAAAGAAGAGAAAGGATACGAAAGCTAAGGGCAGAAAGAGAGAGACAAGAAGCCCTTCGGAATCAGGCCCTGGCTGCAAGAAACCAGGCACCCGGTGTCCCTGATAGTGACGACTCCGACGTTGTTGTTAGTGATGTGAAGCAGGGCCCAGGGAGCAGCGGCATACCCAATGTGAGAGCTGGAGGGACTTCCGTATGTCCTTTGCATGCTTATACTTTTACTGTAGGAATGGTAGTACTTCCTTTTGCTTGCTTTATATCTTGTTTGTTTTGAAGTTGTTGTTGCCCTTGGATGCCTGTTGTAGTATTTTGTTGTATTGCAGCTTTGATTTGTATGTAGTAATCTATATTAGGTAAGGATAAATTGTCAAGACATTGTCAATAGAGCAGAAAAAAAATATATACAAATTGCTATTGCTGTTACTAAGACTGTATGTAATGCTGATAAATGCAGATGTGGGACTTTTATACATTCCCATGATATTAGTCTTTAGCACTGGTACATCTCACTGTTCTTTAACACAGTACTATCACTGTAATTTGGAATTAGAATTGCTTCCTTAACATAGATATTGATAGCGTCTTCATTTTTGTCAAGGTCAAATTGAAGGGTAATAAAGACATGTACTGTTAAGTAGGAAAAAAAGGGTGTGCAATATTAGAAAACAATTGTTTTAGTTAAAGAAAGGGGAATACTTTGAAAGAGGTTGTTGATAAACATTGGAATGGTAAGTTTTGCTAAATGCAGATGCATCCGAGTTCAAAATCTAGGAATAGAAGGAATATAGGTAAAATTAGCATTATATCCTCTGTTAAGGAGTATGAGAAACAGAGAGTTTGTAATTATTCTTTGCATTATATATAAACAATAACTGATTGTCTCGAGCAAGAGGGAGAACAGGAATTTGCTCTCGCCCAAAACAACTACAACAATAACCATTTGTTGCATCTACCAGTTGTTGCATCATTTGTATCTCAAAGTAATTTCCTAAAGATGTTCAGGCAAAATAGATATGCAATGAAAAAAATATAATGAATTGTAAGAAAGAGGAGTAAATAAGAATGGCTGTTTCATGTATCAAGTTATAGGTAAGTGGGTGGGATAAAGTGAGGTGGGATTCTAGGTGTGTTAGAAGTTGTAGAGGAAATTGCAATAGAATAAAGGGGAAGGAGAATGAGCTGAGTAATATATACGCCTAAAGAAATCAAAAGTTAGTAGCTGTATATGTGTATAGTTAACCCTTTCACTGGCACACTTGCAGTTGTGATTACACACGTTGAAGTATTTTTATTTTGTTTGTGTCTGTGATGTAGAAATTCAACTTCAACAAGAATAATACAGAAAAGCTAATGGCATATTAACCCATTGAGTACTGCATATCCACTAAAGTGAAAAAAGAAGGCTGGCTAGTTTACTTCAGATTATAATAATCAAGGAGGAAATAACGTAATAGGTTTTACTCATGTGACTCATAGTGACAATGCACAGGCATATTGGGATAAGCCCCTACAAAAAGCAGAAGTATAGTGTTCATCCCATTAATAAGGAAATTTAAATTTACATGATATTTGGGCCTCCTACAAGCTGGAGTACCAGGTTTTCAAGAGAGTGCTTGGCCAGTCTAGAAACATTTAATAATTTCTTATGTTTTCATGCCTCTTTGTTGTAAGGGGTGCCTGATAAGTATATGTATAGTGGCACCTTGGAATAAACATACTCAAACTTCATGTCAAATTTTAAACTCATTAACTCTTTTTGTGTAAGAATGCAGGTACAGCATTATTGGGATAACCAGATTGCTCCCATTGCCTAGTCCTGGAAGAACAGTGGATGATGCAAAGGTCCTTGACTTCCTCCTGCCTTGAGATGTAACACTAGCTTGAAGGCGTCCATGGTCATGGGTGATTTCAGTTTCCAAGTTCTGTTTACTACCATGGGGCTATTAGGACTAGCTAATTCTTCTGGATTCTTTATGAATCTTGACTTGCATTTTTGTTACATCATAGTCAGGCGGTGAAGTTGACTAAAGTAGAGCAGGTACTCAAAGGGTTAAAAGAAGCCGAAGTGAAAGATATTGAGGCAAGTGAAAGGGTTATGTAGGGTGAAATATTTTGGTTTCTTGTCAGGGTGTATTACCTCAGTCAAGAAGGAAGTCTGTTAAGCAAAGGAGAGAGGTAAGGAGAAACTCAACAGATGACCAGGAGCTCAGGGAACTTGGTTTCAAGTCTCCTGCAGATCTTCAGGATTCTACCTCCTCTTCTTCCTCTGCAGAGGTGGGTTCTCATCACTATTTTCATCATTGTTTACTGTCATACTGGTACCAATAGTTCAGATGCATAGTTATTCTAAGAAAAATCGCTAGAATAGGTTAGACTTTTATTATGTATGCTTGATGTCCGCAGTACATTGTCTTACAGAAACTAATCTAGAGTACATCCTTTTTTCTGTGGATTTGTTAGAGCAGTGATGGTCTTTTCAGCATGCTTTTAGTTGTAGTTAAAATAGCTGTAGTGTTGCCTTTAGAATGGTTTTAGCTTTGTAGAATATGTAACTTTTGGATCTGCACATTTTTCCCTTATTGACCAAAGGGATTTCTTTTAAAGCTGAAGCAATTTTATTCATATATTTACTTACTTCAGAAAGATGTAGCTTCTGTTGTTATTTCTGTACTAATTTTTTTCTTCTTCAATTTATGAAGCCTAGAAGTAGGGGATAGATAATACAATGCTTAATTCTGGGGTGTGTTGAATTTCCTGTTTTCACATTAAACAATTATATAAGAATTATATTGATAGAAGACTTGCTGTGAGAAGGAAGCAGGGCATGGAGGATGGTTATAAGCTAATAATTGAACCAGGATTATATGTTTGTGTGTAGGGGGGGTTGGTATGTATTTGCATTTACATATACATACACACCATTCCATGCCATGCCACGCAACTAATTATAAGCATTAATTACACACTATATATCAGTTCTGTAGCTTATAGAGTTGCTTATACTAAACACATATTCCTATACCCAACAAGCTCGACATATATAAACTGAGGCATTTTACACATAAAAAAAAGAAATGATAGAAAATGCATTAGCATGTAGTCATCTTTTTTTTTATATAAGTTGCTCATAACTTCCTTTGAATAAAAAAAACTAAAGAATTTTTATCAAAGTTCAGATCAGTAAGGCATAGAAGGTTGCTTTCTCTAGTTGGCAATAGATTACTAAGAACAGTGTTGATAGCTTTGAAGTGTTTTTAAAGCATAGATTGTCTGTCCCTGGTTTGTAGTGGAGCTTCATGCTAAATTGTCCTTTTAGCCTTTTTAAAGTCTGGTCAAAGTACACAAAAGGTTACCCAAAAGCCTTTTAATTCAGTCTTAGGGATTTTTGCGTCTCAGTCCGCGAGTAGTTTGTTTCTTGTATTCAAGAAAGCAATGATTATTAACATCAGTGCTGTGTTATTATTAATATAAAATGTATTATTAACCATTGAAACAATAAATACTTCAATCTAAGTAATATTTTAACTTAGCAGGCTTCACCCGAGAGAACACCATCTTCTCCCCCAAGCTCCAAAAGCCCAAGAATATCTTCAGAGACTGCAACTTCGCCTTCTGCAACGTCTCAAGCAAGCAAACCCCACCGTGTCATTCTCGTTCAAGAATCTCCGACCCACTTGGCTGCCTCCAACAATAACCTCTCTGTTAGTTCACCCTCTAGTAATGGAAAGGAGGCGAACTCTAAACACAAGCAGTCTCTCGGCTCACGTTCCAGTGCTGAGAAAAATAAAGACAGTAGGATTCTCGATCCAATTAGTGCTGCTTATGCTAATGGTTAGTAATTAAGATATTCTAAGCTAATGATTTTACTTTGCAATGGAATAATACAGTGTGTGTTTATGGTGGTTTACTACACATATATTGGGGTTCCCGAACTCACTCATAGGATGAAATTCTTTCTGAGGATGTGTTTACTTACACTTTGATTAATCAGTTGGTTTTGAGTTTAGCCATAACAATAACCTTTGCATTTTGTTATTGCAGTGTTTGGTACCTCAAAGCTGGACCTTTCAATTGAGGAGAGAGAGAATGAGTGTGTTCCTATTGACTCAGATGACGACCTCTTTGATATTCCATCTTTGTCCAAGAGTGGTCGCCAGAGCAGCCTTCCTTCAGTTACCACACGGACAAGTTCAACGCCTTCTATTATTAGCTATATTAAAGGTAAGTGTGTATGTAGCAAAGTGACATTATTGTATTAGTAATAATAGTCAGTAGACGTGAAATTAATTTTGTTGTGCATTACCGATTGCTTCTGGAATAGACCACTACAAAGTATCATACCCTGTTGAAAGGCAATTGAAAGGTGATTTATATCCTATATAATAGAATCCCTGATGAATACACAACATGAGAGTAGTTTAGGCAGTATTATAAGGATTTTTTTCATTAAGTGTCTTTGCCTACTTATTTTGGTTATTTACAGATCACCTGGAGCTGGAAGCTACAGGTAAACCACCAAAGAAGAAATCATTTTTGAAAAGATATCATAAAACAGCCCCACTGGTTCAAAATAATTCAGCTGAACATAATTCCGTTAATCACAATTCAAGGGTTCCTCCACCGCTGGCATGACACGGAATGTAAGAGCTAATGTTGATAGCATTAGCTGTAGTAATCATATTCTTTAATGATCTGTTTTACAAGGTTTTAATGTCAGCTTTGCATAACAAGTTAAAGGAAATAAAAGTAATGGGCAGATTTTATATTCATGATCATGGGTTTAAAAGGTATTTCCAAGCTATAATAACTATGATGTGATATTGAATAGGTTGGAAAAGATGACATCCAGTATGGTTTAAAAAGTGAAAATATATGATTTTTTTTTTTCTTTTTTTAAGGGAACAACAAACCCATTACTACATGCATTCCAGTAAAGAATTACAGATCTTTTGATATGTGGAAAGTGTGAGGGAAGTCATGAAAACATCTATGTTAGATGTGAGTAATAGCAGTGGATACCAATAACATTGTCCTGTATATAGTACGTGAGCAACGGATATTGTTCAAAACATTCTGATCTCGTGTATGAAGTGTTCCATAATTAAGTAATGAGATTTCTTAGTAGAAGTAAGTTGTTCTAGTCATTATATATCCAAAAGAATAGATACTTAAAAAATATGTGACTTTCTGCTAGAATGCTTGAAAATAGAAAGCTTCTAGAATTTTTGTTTTATAATGTCATGATACAAAGGTTTATGTATCAGAGCAGTAACTTATGATTTAATTAAATTGTAATAGTATTTGATTTTAAAATTGTGGTGAGAGTGTCCTATTTATTTTTATACAGACTAACATTATTGTTGGATTAAGTTGTTTTGTTTGTTTGTTTCTGTTTTAAAGGGTATGATTTAAATTATAGTCTTTGTTAAGTGTCACCCATGATATATACTATAACTGAATCATAAAGCACTGTTACCATGCTCCCAGAAAATAGCTTTGAATAATATGAATAAACTGTTCTCTTTTTACAAAATTGAATGATAATGTGTGACATTTGTCTTAAATTCACACTTTAATGAGAAGATTTTGTATGGTTTAAAGCATATTGAACAGTAAGACAAGAAAAATGCAACACTATCTGAATGTCCTGTAAGATTTGCATTTTCTTTAATTCTGGCAGTACTGCTGGATTTTTACTATTATTTTGTTACAAATGCCAGTATGTTCATGAATACAAAATTATTTGTAATTGCAAATTAATATTCATTTTATATTCATGTGTGAGGAGAGCTCTTTCCAGTTAATAGTGCTGGTAATATATGAGAGAAAGAGAAAAAATTGTCTCTTGAATATAAAGAAAGATCTAGTCCCTGGAGAAATATAGGTATGATGCAATATAAGTCTTTTTTTCTTTGTTTGTAGCAAAGCAACATATTTTTAAAATGTGATCTGTTAATACTGTGCTAGTCGCTCTGTACAAATACCATGGCATAAGGTTTTGTAGTTATGTGAAGAAAACTAGATGCTAGAATTCAATATCTGTAAGTTATTTCATTTCTTAGCAAGTACAAGGACATAGATGTATAAACGTACTAATTATTGCCAAAGGTAAAAGAAATAACTTAACAATATTGTCATTGTTTTGCATTTTATACCAAAGTTTTTTTGTTTGTTTTTTAAGCTGATATATGCACTGAAGTTTTAATGTAAATGTAGTGCTGTAATTTTATTGTAGGAAGTAGAAATGATAGAGGTAACCGTTGCACTTCTTTATACTTGCTCAAATGGCTTAAATGGCGAGGAACAAATATAGTCTTGCCATTTTTCTTTCAACAGTTCAAACCTGGTTTATCAAGTGATAGATGATTTGATGAAGGTTTTCTGGAAATGAAAAGGTCATAACTTCAAAAACTGTTAGTGCCCTATCCCTGTCCATCATTTAAGTGGCATTGTATTTAGACATTTTCCAAACAGAGTAAGAAGGATTTTGGGATGTGTGTTAAAGTGCAGTTCTTATAATAATGATAATAAGAGTATTTCTTATTGATTTGCTCCACTGTTAGAATTACAAGTGTTTGGATTTTTTTATTTCACTGAAAGCATCTCTGAAATTATGGTACAAGCTTATGTTATATGAAGGTACCTCATATGTACTTTATGGACTGTAGAGTAGTTCTTATACCGGTATTACATGTAAGGACTTTTTCACTTGTACATGATAAGCATATTTTTTTTTCTGTTTTAGTTACTTCATGATTGAAGTATGAAGGTTAGAGTATAAAATGTTTGAATGGGTTACTTTTCAAGTTATTCTGAAGTTTCTTGTGCTATAAGTGTATCTGCTATACAATGTTGACAGACATTTTCAGTTTGTGTTTCCCTTACTTCAGTACCATTGGTTGCAGTTTTTAGTTGCCCTTTAAAATCTTTATGGTACATGGGTGTGTGCATGTGTATTAATGTTTATATGCATAACAACTTGATGAATATATGTTCAGTGTAAGAAGAATCATTCATTTTGAATTTAGAAGTTTACTGTTGGAGGTGTTTCGTTTAAACTTCAAGACAGTATTCTTGATCTTGGACAAGTTTGACATGTATGAGAGGTATAAGTAGTCCAAATATGTATAGACTGCTTTATTTTTTATTGAACTTTAGTTCTAAGAAACCAGAGGAGAAACAGAATTAACCCACTCACAGCAGATTTACAAACGTCACATATGTTGAAATGACATCTCATCCAGTCATGCACAGTCTAGCTTACTCGAAGTTGTGTATAGCTATTTGCTTGTTTGGTCCTGGCTGTGGTCATTGAGGAGAAACAGTCCCTAAAAAGTAGGTTTAAAGCTGCTTTTTAACCTTGTTACCTAATCATGGAAGCTGCAGCCAAAGAGCATAGAGAACAGAAGGTAAATATATGTTTCTCACACATCTGATTTTTCCATCAGGTGGCTGACTGCATGCGCCAACTGGCACATAACTGAGTATGGTGTTGGGAAATCCCAAAGTGAGTGGATTAAACTTTGTTGCATGGGAATGTAGGCATTTAATTGACATTTCCCTTGGGACCAAGCTTCTTACTGTCTTTAATTGACATCAGAAGTTGGAGGGAAAATACTGGTGTTAGAAGTAAAGGAAGTTGGAAACACATACCAGTTCATTATGTTGTCAGTAACCTCATTCATGTCAGCATAGGATATTTTCTCATTGGCTAATGGTACAGAAGTGAGGGGCTTAATGTGTACATTTTTGTTTCAATGTCTATAGTTGGCTTGATATGCAGAGCCACTCGAGTTTCAGCCACAGATCACTTTGGAGTGACATGTTCAGAAATACTAAGTTTAAGATAATGAAAACAATTTACTGGAAGATAAGTAGCATTATATGCTGTTCTAATTCAAGACATTTTAAGATTTGCATTTTTTTCATATAGGGAAATAAAAAAAAAATCCTTTAATATATGCATAACAATAAGGCATCTTTGGCATGCAAAAGTCAAGCTATATCAGGATTCAAGTTTATCAGCTTATCAGATTTTTTTCTTTTCTTTTTTACATGTTGAATAGTATTTAGCTAAAGGTGGCATGTAAGACTCTGAGCTTTTCAGGGAACATTTTGAAATTTGGTTATTGTTCCATCACTTTTTCTATTTGAGGACACACTGCTTTGAATAAGGTCTTTTTTAAAGCTGTGTATACTGCTTCTTGTAGTATGTGCTATGAATTTTTAATAAGGGTAAAATAAATAAAAAGAAAGAAAAAAGGCATCATTGGTTGGAGAGCATTGTGCCAATAAAAGTTATTTCTCTGTGCAAAATAGGTTGATTTAAGTATGGCATCTGATTCTTTAAAATGAATTATTGTTAACTTCAAAGGGTAAACCTAGGAAAATATTATTCTTTCCTGGGAGAAGAGCAAATGTTAAGTCAAATTGGGGGAATTTCCAAGGATAGTAAATTTTCTCATTTTTCATTGTTATTTGCGAGGGAAGTTGTCTGTTTGATCAATAAAGAGTCACATGTTCAAAGATTATTTTACGCAGTTGGTTTAGAAATACGAAACAATTTCAAATGCAGGTGTAGCTGGTATCATTGTGTAATATATTTTTTATCCTTTATTTATCTATTTATTTAACTCTGTAAAATTGCAACCTATTCATTGGATAGAATTAAGATTGCGTCTACATTTTCATTTGATAAATGTGACCCATATTTTGTATATTTATATTAACGAGCTTTGTAAAGTGCTCTGCTTCATGATAAATATTAACATTCCGTCCTTTATCGAAGCAATGGTTATGACTACAAATTATGTTTGTTTGTATGTGTTAAAACAATGATAAGAGTGTCTTTTCACACGAGATCCAAAAATTTACCAGATGGTGTGAAATATATTTCAGTGTTTTGTGTATTGTTCACATGATATTGCCTACATTCTAATTGATGCCGTCCAACCAGAGGTCTTTACAACAGTAAAATATTTTTCACAAGCCTTTTTGTTTGATTTATCCTAAAACCAATTTAATCTCTCAATATATCTATTTTGACTATGAATGGTAAAAATACTTCCATGATGAAAAACAATAATATATGTCAAATATCAAGAGACTTAACTTTTGGAGATCCTCTGGTGTAGGTTTGAAGTTTAAATATATAATTAAATATCAATACATTACAGGCATATATGTAAGTATGTATTTTCCTTATATACATGTACACATATATGTACATATCTCATTCTCACTCTCACACTCACACTCACACTCTCACGCTCATACTCTCACGCTCATACTCTCTCTAGTGCTCACACCCTCTCACTCTCACTCACTCCCTCACTCATTTAATATCAATAGTTACTCATATACTTATTTTCACTGTGAAACTATTATTATTCTCACTATATAATACAAAGAGTATAATCTAACCTTTCTTCTACACAATATTAAAAACTGGGAACATATTAAGTTATATATTATCATCCACTAGAACTTTAGACTGGACAATGAAAAATCTGAAACATGGATTGCATTCTAGTCAAAGTTTAGGGAAATCCTGAATATTCAAATGCAGTTAATTATTTCTTTGCTTTGTTGATAAAATAAACTAAGAATAGAGCAGGCAATAAACTACATTCATTTATCAGCTTGATAAACCTGATCAAATTTCAAAAGAAAGCAAAGAATTGCCTGTCATATTTTTAATGCAATAACAGGCCCCATAATCCTGAGAGATGCTTCTCAAGTAAAAAATTGGTTATTAATACACAAAGTAATGCATATACTGGTCTTGTAAAAAGTATATTTAGCAGTAGAATATTGGTAATCCCTAGTTACAGTAATCTACCTGCACAAATCACTGTTGATAAGCTGTGGTAGCTGCAGGTAAACTAGG